CCCCTAGTGGGAACCCCCACCTCCATGTTGGGAACCACTGTTTTAGAGAATCTACATTTATCCCTTTATATTTTATTTTCAGTAAAACAAAGCTCAATCAAAATAAGTTCAGATACAAGGCAAACACCAAAGGACAATCTCATTGTTTCACTGATGTTTTGAAGGAATCTGATAATGATATAAAACATCCATTAAACATTTATGACATTGGTCCCTCAAATTTGGATTTAAAGAGTTTTGAAAAAAATATTTATCAAAGCAAGATATTTTACAGTAAAACAATAAATGAAGGTGTTTTATCAGAAATTACAGTATTAGTAAATGTGACAGTGTGACATAAATAAGAATATGACTTTATAATAGCAAAGTAAAATACAATAAATTGTTATGGTTTGCAGATTTAGGACCCAGAAGCAGACTGAGACACATGCGATAAATAATAAAACCCTATTTATTGAGATGGAGATGGAGGAAGCTGATATGTTGTTGGGGAAGGCGGAGGGCGGTGAGCTGTGACTGAGGGAGACTGACTGGAGGAATGAGCCTGACAGCACACTATCACGGTAGCTGGCTGAACAATCTGGCGATGAGTGGGTGAAGAACCAGTGCAGATATACTGCGCTTGATAGGAGAGTGACGATCGCCACCCCCACAAACAGACACAGAGAGACAGACAGAACACACAAGGGAAGCAGGGAAAGGGAAAAAGACACAGACCCTGCAGTCACACCACACAAATGGAACAAAAATATTTAAAAACTTAAGGATCATTAAGGATAAAACTATAAAAATGCAGCCTAAAGATGTGCACTGCTATATCTACGATGCAACCGGACTGTATATTATCAGTTACTAATTTAAACATGTAAGAGAGAAGTATATAAACTACAGAGCAAGCAACACGTACAGTAAATCTAAAAGAAGTCATATCAGGTGTAACATGGGGAGGGATCAAATAAAAGCTGGTTTATGGCGTAAACAGTGAGGCAGCAGTATCTGTAGCAGAGAGATAAGAAAATCATTTATATGTTAGGATTGGTGGAGACGGTTGGAATTTTTATGGCTCACATGAACTCTTTATTTCATTTACAGTGACTCACTCAGCCAATTCCACTGCTCAGACACCACTAAACTGCTCGGAGGGCCCAGATAATGGAGGTCAGATAGTGACACTGCCGGCAGGAAGAACAGGAGGACGGACTGGTCTCATCCTGGACAGAGACAGCATCATGTCCTGTTTAGCCTCCATGCTCTCCGGTAAACAAGGACTGAGGTGGACTATAAATCTGCCTGTCCAGTGTCCTACTGATGATCTTCACCTGAGACTAAATGGTGAAAGCCAAGTGCATCTGTTCTCTTCCAGACATCCAGCAAAGCTTATGGCTTTAACTCAAACGCAACACAGGATTCTTGCAGAGGAAAACAGCATCACTGTGAATTCCCTCTGCCATCCTGCTCTGAGGGAGCAGACTCTCAGGAGGATCAGTGAGTCCGGAGGTCTGCAGGCGCTGATCGACCAGTGGGACCACAGCAGCCTGGAAGAGCTGGAAGCCTTCATTGACTCGTACTTTGAGATGGTTTGGGAGCAAACAATGGGATCGTTTCAGGCGCCTGAACCTGAGTGTCCCACCACAGAGCTGGATGCTGTCGTCGAGGAGGAAGTGCTCTCGTCCATTGACAGGAAACTTTCAAAGCTGGAGCTCCTTGAGGAGATTCGGAGGGATCTGGCCGAGCTGAGGAAGAGTCTGGAGCACAGCTGGAAGGCCATACAGGAACTCAGAGAAAAAAGTTGATGTAGATAGTAATACTTGTTGATACAGGATAATCAAAGATGGACTAATTTATATATATTTTTTCCTGATTAATTAAATGTTAAGAAGTAAAAAATAAATAATCAAAACATCACTTTCTTTGACTGATGGAACCACAGGTTTGTTATAATATTTTTCCACAAGGGGGAGCAATTGTATAAGAGTAGGTTCTTCATCTTATGTGGCCACTGAAACATCACCACAGTGTATAAATTCTTAAGTAAAAGTAAATCAAAATTTAAGTAAAAGTACAAAAGTATTAGCAATTTTGGAATATGTTATTAAATTATATTTATCGATGCAATGATGTGTTTGTCACTTTAATGTTGCAGCTGGTCAAGGTGTGGCTCATTTTAAGTACTTTATATACTGGTTGGTAGCTGGTGAATTTACCCCAATAATAATAAGTTTTATCTTAACCTATAATAATACATCATAATCTATTGATTATATATGTTAATTATATTTTGTATTATTAATGTGAAAAATAAGAAATAAATCCAATATTTGTATGTAAAGACTATTCAAGTAAGGTACCTCAAAATTGTACTTAAGTATGGTACTTGATAATTTAATCATACACTTTGTTTTTGTTTTTTTGCTTTTTTCTTCCATATACGCAATATACGCTACAGTAGGAGGCCAAAGTTTTGTGGACAGACCTGAACATTAGATTTTGGTTGAGATTTCTTTGATTTTTTTGTGTGTTGACCCAAACGTCAGGTAATTCTTGAGCTTGTACTTTGTGGTCTTCTGGTTTTGTACTGCATTATGTTGTAAGCATCGTGTGTTTCTAATATTTTTGCTTCAATAAATATTAGAAACACCTTTTCATATAATGCAGTACAACTCTGAAGACAACTGTTGTCACAGTTTCAACAACAATTCAAATATGCATGATATGATGAGGAGATACACTATATGGCCAAAGGTATGTAGACACCTTAGCATTACCTCTGAACATTACATCTTGAATTTCTCCCAGGGGGGATCAATAAAGGAACATCTTATCTTATCTTATCTTATTACACCCATATGTGATTATTAAATCACAGGTATCTGTCTGCTGCTGTAACAGCCTCCTCTCTTTCCACAAGATTTTGGTATTTGGGTGCAGGGATTCGCTCCCATTAAGCCACAAGAGTGTTAGTGTGATAGGGACTGGCTCACAGTCAGCATTCTCATTCATCCTAAGGGCATTGGATGAGGTTGAGGTCAGTGCTCTGTGCAGGCCATTCAAGTTGGAAACTGGGTCTCCATAAGTCTTGCAGTAGATATTGCAGTCAACCCAACAAACACCTGTCTGACCTCTAAGAGGAAGAGGAAGAGGGAAGAAGTTAAAAAGTGTAGCCAGAGGTTATGATCTTGGATGGATATCATGGTGTGTTTAACAATGTCACAAGTTGCAGTCACACACTTTTCACCTCATATTAGAAGCACAGTAGGTGTGTCCAAATATTTTTGGCCATATGGTATAATACTCAGCTCATAGCTTTAGGAGTAAATATCTGTATTATGTTAGAAGAAGGAAGATACAGGATCTAAATAGAAATGAAAAAACACATTTTTATTCCACATCCGTTTGGCCCCCAAGAGAAAACCTACCCTTAAACCTTTTTTAGGAAGAAGATATAACTGAAAGCCAAAGGAAGGGATTTGGCTATTGTTTCTCTGATAAGTCACTCACCTTCACAAATATTAAAGCCTTGAAAGGTTGAAATAAATAAATAAATTTTCATCTGTGCAGAAGAGTCCATATATGTGTCTCTCCCAGTTTGCAATCCAGAATACCATTTTCTTTGTTGAGAAAACAAAAGATCTGTACTGCTTCCATTTAAATCCTTTTTTTCCAGAATCAAAGGACTTTCAAGTGAGTCACACAGAGACAGATACTACTGCAGCATACAGAGGCTGATAGGACTCTGGCAGAGTAAACACTGTGAAAAACCTCTGCTGTCAAGGCCGTTTTTGACCAAATAAAAATGTATGGTAACCGCAGAAGGCAGATGGCCATTTTATGATGTTGATGAAGTTGTTTGATGTAGTTTCCCTGATCCGGAGGTGTGTATACATAACAAAACAGTGAAATATCTGAAATATGTAAGCATAATTTTTCTATGTTCACTTTTATCTCTGCTCAGGTCTGTTTGAGCGTCGGTGGCTCCGCATGGCAGCGAGAGATAACCGCTTGAAAAATTTAAACCTCAAAAACCAGATACCATGAAAGGTGATGTCACACACGATCTGCCTACGTTGTGATGCTTTATATGTTTCACTCAGGAGTTTAGGAGTTGGCAGTTTTGTTGAGCTGCTCCCTGTAGGCACAGAGATATGCAAGCCCATTTTCTGCCAAGAAAAGAAAAACATTATGAAAATTTAGAATTAAAATAAATAAGGTGAGTCACAATTATGACATAGAAATGCAGAGTTAGCCTTTCTAAGTCAAAGTAATAATGTATTTATTCATAATTATAAGACATATCAAAATATTGAACTGATCTGTGCACATTTATAAACTACATAGTGCCCTCAGAAATTCCACAAAGACATAAAAAGTAGTGTCCATGGCAAAACTTTCCCACCATGCAATGCTCCACATTTTACAGATAAGAACAGTTGTTGACAGTTGTGGTAAATGGTAAATGGACCTGTACTTGTATAGTGCCTTTCTAGTTTTCCGACCACTCAAAGCGCTTTTACACTACTTTTACAATGCCCCCTTCGCCCTTTCACTCATCAATGGCAAAGCACATCAAACAGAAACTAACTCATTCATACACGTTTACACACTCATGCACAGCATTGAGAGCAATTTGGGGTTCTTACTGGATGACCCGCTCTGCCTCTGAACCACAGCTACCCTTGTGCAGTTCTCAAACACCCAAAGAGTCTAGAGTCAAGCTAGCAGCTCTATGATGATGTATTGCTTTAATCCAAATGCTAACATCAGCTTGCTAACAGGATGTCTAGCAGGTATAAAGTGATCACCATCTTAGTTCAGGCTGCTAACATCTGCTAATTAGCTTAAGCTAATGGAAATACAGTTTTGCAGGTATTCGGTCAAAAATCGACAAAAAGGATCAACAAAGATGGAGACATGAAGGTGTGTTACCAAATTTCATTTCAATCCATGCAACATTTACGAACATTTCACTCACAAATGTCACAAAGGGCCCAATGTCAATGCTGATGTTGGCACTAGAGGAAATCTTATTGCTGAATTTGGATCTATCACTTGGGAAACATGAATGTTTGTACAATTAGTTTTTATGTCACTTAAAAAAATGGGATGGAGCTTCTACAGAGAGGTAATGATATTACACTCAACTTTTCTTGCCTCTTATCATCTGCAGTGTTGTAGACAGATAACCCTTCAGCCCAGAAGCTGCCAAAATGTTGAGACAACTGTGATGAAAGACAAGAGAAATCTCCACTGTGTGGATACAGGAGAGGGACGGACACATTTTGAGGATGAACTTACAGGGAGCATAATAGCAAAGGAGTGATTTGTAGGCAATCATGGTCTATTTATCTCTGTCAGTCTTCATCTAGGGGCTTTCTCTCTTTGCATTACACCTCTTTGAATATCATTACTCCTTCAATCCCCTCTCCCTGCTGTCTTATCATCTGTCTTCCTCTCTTGTCAACATGTCATTCCTCCACCCCATTCTCCTGCCGCTCATTTTCTCTCGACCTAGTCTCTTCTCTATCTCCCCTCATGTCTTTTCTCTCTGCCATCCCATTCTCTCTGCAGTTCTCCCCTCCTTCTCTCGAATCAAGTCGTGAGCGCTCAGCCCCCCCTCCCACAGTTGCTCATTAAAGGAGTTCTGCAGCCTGCGGAGGAAGCTCAGGAGAAATGGATCTCCTCTCTCTCTCTCTCCATCGTCGAGGCTGTTTGGGAGACAATTTTGAGCCCACATCCATCTCCATTAGTGGGACAGCGCAGCGACCGGCACGACCCCCCATTCGCCGCCTTGTCTCACGTTTCACTGCCTGCTATTTTTCCAGGTGGAAAAAGAAAGCCAGGACGGAGAATTGGGCAGAGGCTGGGAACGAGGAGGGAGAAAGAGGAAGAGAAGGATGATTTAGACCTGGTGTAAAGAAATCATCCATCCTCCACTTCCCTCCATGCTCTGATACGATGACGTCCCCTGGGGGGTGATGTCTAGGACACGGTACAGTGTAGACCAGTGCACCTCAGCGGGAGGACTGAACTTTTCTACCCTTTCCAGCTCATAAAGAAAGTCTGCATCATGACCTCACAGTGATACAGGGTTTTTTAAGGCCTAAAACAGAGAAGATACAGGCCAGTAACAGCTGTATCAGGTGAACAGGACAGGTCACAGATGTGTGATTAGTTTAGTCCTGCTCTAGGTCAAAGCTGTGATAATCAACAGAGAGGGAGAGGCTTTGGTGATGCTACAGGGACATTGAGGGTATTCAAGGGATTATTCTGAAGACATTCTTCCGCTTTAGGCTCCATATACCAACAGACAACCAGAGCGTTGTTTGTATCTCCAAATCAAGTCTCATTTACATTCAAGTAAAAATCTCAAGCAATTCAAAACAAATCCTAGTCAACTCTGTGTTTCCAGGTCACAGGGGGTCTTTTGGGTCTCAAGTCAAGTCAAGTTCTTGAGGGCTTGAATGTTTTTGTTTTCAAGTCAGAAATCTTAAGAGTGAAGTCTCAAATAAGTCAAGTTCTAAGACGAAATTGTGCTTTAGGCTAACTGCTTTTCATGTCAACCACAACACCCTTTTGACACTGGAACTGAGGGGATGTATAAACCTTTCTTTCTTTTTTCATTTTTCACAAAATTTCTTATGCAGTGCCATAAATGAATTCAAGAAGAGACTCTCCAGAAGTGTGCTATTATCCTATTTTGTACAAGTCATTGCATTTTGCCCCTCTCTACAACGGCAGGCTTTTACTTCATCTTCAAATTCGACCATTCAGAAAAGGTAGAAACATTTTGAATTTCAGAAGAATCTAAATCCTAACTTTTGTGACTTAAGTTTAACTCAATCGTTCAGCCAATCTTTAGGTCAAAACATCAATGATGCAAGATGCTACAAAAAGCCCACCTGTTGCCAGTTGTATTTTTACCCTTTTGGGATTCTTTTGGGATTTTACTAGGTCAAAAAATAATTATCATACTTTTCAAGCTTCAAGTCACGTATTTAGGGGCTGAGAATGCTTTTGAACCCCCCAGGAGGAGTTTGAGGATGAAGCTCAGGAGAAAGACTTC